CAGTCAGCTCCTGAGGACCAAATCTGACCAAAAGACCCATAAACCATCCCAAAAAGCTATGCAGCTTTTCATGCTGGTTTTCCAGTTTGCTTGAGTCACTTTAGGCTAGTGAGACATATCTTAGATGGAGCTTGAAAAATACAGAGCTTCACAGACTGCTGATTCCAAACAAACACACTACCCTACCAATTACCAACATGCTATAAAAAGCATGTTGACACAAGCAAGTCAGGTAAATCCCCACTACAATGAATTTTCAAGGTATTTCCTGACCAAAATCTGCAGGAATGATAGTTGCTGCCAGTTAGCACCTGCTTGGAAGAAAATGTGCAACTTTGAGCCTCCAGTCTTGAAGCAATCCTGAAAGCAGTAAAATGTTTTGTGCACAACACTGGAGCGCTGACAGCCCTTCTGCCCTCTAACAAAGACCTTGCTAACCACAGGTCTGAGGTAATGCTCACATTTGCTGGGCTCATATTTCCAAATCCAAACTCATTTTTATCTGTGAATGCAAAAAGACTCCCTTTTCTTAGTGCCAGTATGCAATCGAGTTATGCAAAGTAAGCATCAATTAGCAGTGCTTAACAAAGACAAAATTAAAATAAAGCGTTGTCTTTAGGAGTTTGCTATTTGCCACATCATTAAAGCTCTGCAGGCATTAAAAGACAAAATGACATCCTAAGAGGGCACAGCATTGAAGTGGCTTCCAACAATACCTCCAGCCACAGCGGTGTGAACCCACACTGCCTAATTACTCTGCACATATCCTGGACTGATGCTATGCTGAACCTGGAGAGGTTATGCATGTCTCCTTCAAACCAGAGGCCATGCCTTCAGACCTCTTCCACAACAGAGCAGCCACCCAGCTTTTGAAGACAATTATCATCCTGATATGACCCACACACTCTCCCTATCCTCCTCAAAATCAATCTGCCACAGTTTAAATTAAAATATGAATCAAACACTTGAAGTGGTAAAGTCTAAGCTTACAGCAGCTGCATGATTTCCATGCTTTCCCTTATCACTCCTTCCACACTCAAGCTTCAGCAATTAAGATTAGCTGGTAAAAACATTTCAAAACACAGATACTGCCTCCAAGATTGATCCTTGTCTTATTACAGCAGTGTGGAAAAGTCCGAAGGCAGACCTTTAGAAGACAGCCACACCCAGCATCCTCAGTACAGAACACAACAGGCATCTGAGCAATATTCAGCATCTAAAGTTTCTGAGAGAGCTCACCAAACCAAGAATTTTCTACACGCTGGTATGTGATCTGTGCAAGACACAAATAAACCAGAAATATGAACCTCTATGGGTTATTTATTATAACACATAATGGCCCACATAATATCCCCTTCTTTTACCTCCACTGGAACTTATGCATCAGCCCAGAGGGATTGTTCAGTTAACAGTAATTGCAATAAACGGTTCACTGGCCTTCACTGCCTCCTACAGAGCTTTTAGGGCTTCTCCTTTGTAGGAGATTAACTGATAACCAGTAAAGGCAAATTAAAAAGTAAAGCAACTTGGTATAAATCTGATCTCAGCATTCCTTTTCATATTGTAATTCTATCTAAATGGGGGAAAGGGGGAGAAATGCCCATGGATGCATTTCACACCCAGAACTCTCTCTGCCTGAGGTCTGTGATTTTCAGTGATGTCCAGTTTAGGAATTACTGCCTTCCAGCTTTGACAATCCCTACACTATCCTAGCAAGGTAACTGATCCTATCAGAAAACAGCACTCCAGCTTCACGTGGTGCTGCAGGACAGCTGGGCTGGCTGCCTGCAGGCAATTCTGTCCCTTTCCAAAACAACTCTGGCTTCAGGTTTTATTTGTTTTGTACAGGGTAAACCAAATTTAGCCCTTTGTTGCCATCACTTACACACCTTCTGTATTTTCCTTCTGCTGAATAAAGACAGACATCTAACCGGTAGGAATTCTGCCTGCAGCTTACCACCCACCTAACAAAAAACACCTGAATTCACTGAGAGCTGCAAGTGAGAACACCACAAGGGACTGAGCAGGCACACACAAACTGCCTCATTGGTCAGGGAACCTTGCTATTAAATAAAGTTAACTTTTTTTTAAAAAGGTTTTAAACTTCATTTTATCAGGTTAGGGACCAAAAACGGAAAGACAACTAAGCTCTGGAAAGTGTGCAATTGCCCAGGCACAGAGCAAATAGGATCTGCAGGAGCTGTTTGAACAGCGTTCCAGGAAAGAGGAACAGTAAGTAAAATGGAAACAGAAAGACTGTCATTGGTTAACAGCTGTGTGCCTAAAGAAAGGTGCTTGAACACCATTTTATTCCAGGTGGATGAGACTAGCCAGAGCACTGTGGAATTTGAGACCAAACTGTACCTATTTCCTAGGCCACAACCACCAGGATGAGGATGAGCCATGCTAAATATGGATCAGTCCAGAGGTAGAGAGACCAGAACAAGTAGCTGGCAGATGAACTGGTATCAGATCATGTTCACAGACACCTAGAATATCTTGAGTCAGAAGGACCCATAAGGATCCCACTGATTCCCTTTCAGAGCCTGCCTGCATTTATCTAGGAACAGCATTAATCTTTCAGGCTAGATTTTTCCAGAGCCTGCTGATGTAAACACCTAACAGGCACATACATGCTGCTGCCAATATGCACATACACATCAGAGTCACTAAGAAGTGATTTTGAAGGTAACATCCTCAGTTACCTAGAACAAAGTTTGGACAAAATTTGTAAATCTGGTGGTCCCATTTCAGGCCTTTAAAAGATAACTAGTGGCTCTTCTCCTTTTATGGGCAAAACCTCAAAGCATAAACAGACCGGAAATAGTAAGTTCTGAATTCTTTCTTTCAAAAAAAGCAAGTTTCAATCACAAATGCCTCCAATCCCTTGTGCAAGGCACGAAAACAGAGTAATTTAGAGCAATGCCTTATAAGAGATTGATATGTCCAAATACAAACCACAAGTCAATTTGCTGGACGCAGAGAATGGTAAATTACCCTCTCTAGGTTTTAGTTACCTCAGTTTAAAAACCAGCATTAAGACACAGAAACCACAAACACAGAGGCACCAAGGCTGCGCTTTTTACTGTCCTGAGGGAAACATTTTCTTAGGCACCACCAATTCCATGTTACTTCACACCAGAAACAAGCCTGCCCAGAGGAACCTGAACTACAGAGCGTTTCCTTGTCACAAAGCCTGGAGTTTGTAGCAAAACTTCATGTTTTAATATTTCTTTATAAATGACCACAGAAGATTTTTGCTTATCATGAATGGGCCTGGAGCTCTCACTCAGGTACCTGATAATACTAGCAGAGCTCACATGAAGTTACAGAGCTTTCTGGAATCTGAAAGGGGCCTAAATCTTGTTATTACTGCTGTTAAAAACTACATATAAGCTTTCTGCCTATGCATCCAGAAGCAAAATTTGGCTTTGAATCATAGTTTTTCCTCCTAGATTGCTAGTTTTCCACATAACCTTAAAACTAAGTCAGGCATTAAATAATTCATGTTTATTTTAAAAACACACGTCAGCAGCTTACGCAACTGAAGGAATTGGAAAGACAACATACTCTTCTTGAAGGCTTTGGACGGGGGATGAGGCTGAAATGCTCCTGATGGAAGCCCATAGCTGCTCATACGCTGCACAAGGCTGGCTACATTGCCAGATTTCTCCCTCCTGATGGGCACAGCATCATCCTTGGGCTCTACATCCTTCTTAAGTTCCTGAAACAAGAGATTTAGAAGACTGAGAGGTCACTTAAATTACCCAAGAAATCAGTATTTTGAGGCAGGTGCTCTATAGGCTAACAGGTACTTACCATTTGGGGTATAATTACATATTATAGTCAAAAAGCATGGCATTCTGCAGCTAAACATACCAAAGGCCTTAATAAACTTGACCCTCCATTCATTTAGTAAACAGGTAAAATGATGTGCTGAAAAAAATCAGAAACAGGGGCAGCATTTTGGCTGCCTACCCCAACTCTAAGAACAATAGCTTTGAGCACAGAAGTTCCAAATTACAACTCTAATGTCATAGCTCCTATTTGAAAAATGTTTTTAAAAACAGAAATATTCCTTCAATGGCAGACCTACAGAGTAGGGCACTAAAATATTTTAATATATAAAACTGCATTAGGCCATTATCTCTGCCTCAGAAAGCTCCAAGGTGTTTACAGACCAGACACAATCACACTGCTGCAAGACATAAATGGGAAAAAAAATGCAATATAAGTAGCAGAGAGAGCAAGTAAGGGAAAAGGCGTAGGAAGAAAGTAACAGAGACATCATTTTTCTCATAATTGTCTCCCACCTTCCTAGCTTTCTAAATTAAGATGTTAGCATTGGAACTGAATCTGTCAATCAAGACTAAGAAGCCTATAAACGGGAAAGCAACAGCTCTTGACAAAAAGGCCAAGTACACAGCAGTTACCCTATGGCATCAGCTCGTTAAGTGAGATTTCACCAGAGAGCAGATAATCTGAAAGAGGGAAATCATCACTTTGCACAAGAAGAAACCCATTAAGTCAGAACAATGGCCAAGAGCAAACTGTCTCTTTAGAGAGCTAGCTTGCAACTCAGATCTTCCCACATTCCCAAAGCACCTGTAAGGGCTTCATTAGGCAGATAATCACCTCCTCTCTCCTTTTATGTCTGCAACTGAAGCTGTCTAATCTCTTTCTGCACCCAAGGTCCTCTCTGCCTCCCCACCATCCTTGGGGACAGACACCTAGTGTGCTCTCCACCACTGCGTTTCATTTATCGCTACCTATCACTATCGGCTGTGTAAACCTTGATCATATTCTCCCTTGGCTTTTCCTTCTCCACTGAATATTCAGTCTTGTCAGCCCCCATGTCAGGCAGCTGCTCCATCCCTCTAACCACCTATCTAGTCACCCATCTCCATCCCAACAAAACCCATACACTGATGAAATACCAAAAATAGCAGAAGCATATTCCCCAGGACCTGTCTGGTGCTTTCCAGAACATAAAAACCCAGGTTTCCTACTGCAGCTGTCCAGCTGGAAAAAACTCAGGTCTGAAAACCTAGTGATGCTTTCAAACATACTATGAACCTCAAGTCAAACAGTCTAAAGCACCTTCCTATTTCTCAAAAGAGCGGAGTAAGCAGAATAAGCAAAACTACAGACAGGATAAGTCTTCCTCCCACTCATCTACATTACATAAAAAGGCTTTTCAGAAAAGAGTTGAGTGGTTCCTGCTGTTACTGTCCTTCATCTGCAGTGACTTCTGCCCTGGAGATCTAAGTTCTACTGAGAGCCAGTTTTCCCAGTCAAAAACAACCCTCAAAACTTGAGAATTGCACAGCATCCTGTCTACCTCCTATTTGAGTACCCATTTCACATGTCAGACTTTGTCATTCTCAGTCTTATTGGCCAGTTACTTGCAAGTCTGATAAACCATATGGAATTAAATTTGGCTACAGCTGAAAAGTTCTTCACCTCCAAAACACCCTTCTAGCTGCTTTACTGACAAGGCCATTCTGTTCAACTGAAGAAACACGTTGGTGCTTGAAAAACTTGCCTAGAGGAGTTTTTCCCCAGACTTTTAAAATTATAATCTTTTGCTATCTAATTTATACAGCTTCCCAAAACTCCAAGCTACTCCAGGAACTAATACTTCCATATTCCAGTTAACCAGTTTCTCATTCATAATGCTTTCCAGTGAAGAGCCAGCTTCAGACTCCTTCCCCTGGTCTGCACTTTGCACGAGACACTTCAGAGGCAACTGCTCCAATAACTCTGTAAAAAGCACAGAGATGCAAAAAGGAAACGGGGCAGCCCTACACAGGCAGTTTGGCTGAAATCATGACCTCCCTCTTTTTTAAAAAAATTTATTAGAAGAACAAAAAAAATAAAACACCACACACACCACTTCCAAATGCTAGAACATGCTGTGAGGTGAGCAACACTTTAATCAATACTGTGAATTAAATAGACAATATACTTCTATGTCCAGCAGTAGCATCAAAGGCATTAAAAGAATAGACACATTATAAACAATAGGAAATTACTTCAGGCAAAAGCAATGCCCAGTCCAGAAGACCAAAGACCCAAAAACAAAAGGAGAATGTTTGAGTGACTTTCTTGCCAGGCTTGAGTCAGGAACTGACATAGTGACAGGTAGGAAATGCTCAAATATCTAACACAAGACAATGGCAAATTTTAACAGAAAGTATAGTGAAATCAGATTAAAAAACAGGATCTAAAATGATTCTGTGCAATCATTACATGAAGAAAATCTTGCAGCCAGATTCAAAGGCTGAAAATTTACTGATGAAGATTTCAGCAGCAGAAGCCAGAAAAAACAATCAGACACTAGGAGAGACTGGTACCACCAGACCTTGCTAACACAGCCAAGACACAAAAGCTGAACACTTAAATATACAGTTAAGAGAAACTGTCCTAATCCAAGATATATAAATGGAAAGAGAATGCAAAAAAAAGTTCAAGGTGACTATATGATAGAAGCAGGAGCAGAGAGATGCAAATCCATAAAGTGCTCTGTGAACACAGCATCACATGAAGCTGCTTTACAACAAGGAGAGAAAAAACAACCACACAGGAGAGTACTGCCACAGCAGATAGCAATACATCTAGTTTTAGCAAAGAACTACTGAAGGGGTTAGTAAGCAATATGTGGATAAGCCAACAACTGCTTTTTCCATATTTAACCTACTACCCTTTAGAACATTCTTGTAAAGCAAGCACTATTTTTTATTCTTGTTAAAGAGGAACTGCAACATTAATTATCCTTCCTGAGGGCATTAAAAACCACACTAAAATCAAACCAAGTTAAAGCAAATTCAGTAATCCTTGGTCCCCACACATGCACACGGTCCACTACACCACAACCCTGCAGTTCACCTCAGTCCTCTAGAGCAGAAAGTGCTCCAAGAATCATTTTCAAAAGTACAAATCAGGATCCTTTGACATGCTCATCATACACCCGCCACCATGGCCATCAAGTTCATCCTGAGCATCATTATGACTCTCTGACCTTCTAGACACATTAAGATTTCACAAAGGAAGCAACTTCTAAACAAGACAGTTTGGATCTCTGGAAACTGACACTAATTGATGCAAACTATTATTATTAACATTTATATATTAATATAATAAAAATCTGCAATTCTTACATTTCTGTCCAAACAGCTTCAGCATCATGGTGAGACAACAACACTGCCCACAGGTCTCATCTCTGAGGCACCACTATGCTCAGCCTGGACATACTCAAGACTTCTATCCATCGACTTCACAAGTCAGGGAGTTTTCTTTCTTTGTTTTTGGTGGGTTGTAAGTCAGCCTCATGTACCCAAACTATCAGAGAGAATCTCTGTTGCGACAATACCAACAAAAAGCTCCAGAACACTCCAGCTTGTTCCAAGATGAGGCCACAGCCAGCTGCCAGCCAGCAAAAGCAAAATGAAAATTTGACATTAACTGCAGCTGGAAATTTGACTATTTTTATTATGCCACTCCACTACAGTTCAAGGCTTGTCTGTGTTTCCATTAGCAGCACAGATTTTATGCACTTATGACTTGGCAGTACAAGGCCAATACAGACTGTCTCTTGGCGTAAGACACACTCAGCTGGGAAGTGATCACCCACTTTTTCTGATGCATACATACTACAGCACTAGTCATACTTCATTTTATATGAAGTTTTCATAATCTTCACTAAATGTGTAATTCACAACACTTAACAAAATTTGCCAAAATCACAACAGGCTGATATGCAAAAAAACGCATATAAACCTAACTCAATAGCAAAGGAAAAAAAAAAGATTGGGGAGATCTTAAGGGGCTGCTGCTTTAACTGCACCTCTCAGTTTAGCAAATCCTTAGGGAAACACATATATTTACATATAAAAATCTTAAAATCATTTAGGTACATCAACACATGAAACAAGAACTATTCTTCGTATGTTGACAAAAATCCAACACGTGTAAAGTCATCCACAGCCTCCTGATGCCTATTAAAATAAGCTAATAAGCAGGCAGTCCTGACCTACTTTTGAAGCAAGCAAGCAGCAGCCTTCCCACCATCAGCTGCTTGCCCACCCATCGCTCCAGCAGAGACAGCTGGATCCTCCCCACTTCCCTCGCCAGAAGCTAAGAGCACTCAAATCAGTGAGGCAGCGGAGATCGAGAAAGCAGGTCAGATTGTCTGAGAGGCCGTGAGTTAAAAACATGAAGCGTATTCCTGAATTATAGGGCACAAAGAAGTTCATTATCCAGCAAATCTAAATCCTTAGCTCGATTCTTCAAGCATAAATACTAAGACTTTGGCTGCCCATCTCCTTCTATATATGTCATTATACAAAGAACAATCATTTTCAGACTTCTTATATTAATTCCACTGTAACATCAGCTTGCACAAAAGCAATGTGCATTTCTGCTGCTGGCTGAGCACATTTTAAAGCAAGATCTCAAACAGCAGAAAATGGGTCTCAGTCTCTAAAGAGGCTGAGATGAAGAACACACAAAGACAAATGCCTGAACTTCCACATAAAATTATCTCATCTCTCTGCTTCCTCATCAGAACAGCAATAAAGAATCCATGGACTGGCAAATTAAGTTCATGAATCACTTTACTGGGGAGAAAACAAGGAACTCAGAACTGAACCTGTCATTTTAGGGAAGAGAAAGGAATTAGAAGCCTGTGATACATCTTCAGGCAATAGTTTTGTTTACACAAGT